ACAGTATAATTTAGGTGTATTATTAAGAGTTAATGATCATTATTTAAGATGCAATATAATGTTATCTTGTGTTATCGGCGATTGGCCAGAAAATTGTAAATACTGTTTGACCTAGAGTGGAACAAGTTGCGCACGTCCTTGTCATACTTGTCTTGTAGAAAAAGATAAACTCAATGCAATTAAGTTACCTACTAAACACAAAATTATTCGAACTGAAAATCAAATGCAACAAGTTATTACAATGAAAAAAGGAAAGGATTATTCATTGCATGAAGAAACAAATTGTTTCTGGAATCATCCGTAAGTTTAATAACTTTCTTACTACGTTATTAAAACTTTTTTATTGATGAAACAAATTTTGTTGTAGAAATTTTAACATTTATACGGCAACGGTTTCTGAAAGAATGCACCACTTGGATCTTAGATTATTTCCACATATGGTTAGATTTACACGAAACCTTTTAAAATCTCATGGTGGAATGTTCTTTGTTAATAAAATGGATTTAAGATTTGGACTAATTCCACGTTACCCGGGATTAAAAATATTTAATGTTGGGCTTGCAGAACTCTCATTGTTTACAGCAGCTGAGTATAGGCACATGATGAAAGTTATGCCTTTCGTTATTGAAGGTCTTTTTGAAGGAAAAGAAAATGAATCACTTGTTCGAATGTTTGTTAATTGGAATAAAATGTATTATCAATCAAAAAAATATGAGTTTACTAAGTCAGATCTTTTCGAATTTGAGGTTAGTAATTTTTAAATTAACTTCTTGCTGAAATTGTACTATAACACTATTCAAACTACTTGGAGATATCCAATACATTGACCGTGTAGGATCATGTGATTTATCCGATCCTAACTTGAAACAATCGAATAAGGTGTATTATTAGAAGTAGTGCTAGGGTTATAGAATCATAGCTTATAGGCAAAATTTTGCAAGGAAGGTTTTTTTTAATTAGAACAACGAAAGTGGTTTCATATGCAAAATTGACATGATACTTCATATTCACTGTGGCCACGATACTTAAAGATAACAGTGATTAGTTAGTTAGGATAATTTTAAAACTTTAATATGTCTCGTACAATTTAAGTAAAATTACTATTCATTATTTTTATAGAAGTCGATTCAAACTTGGGCAAGTAATTTTGCTAAAACTCTTGGCTCATTTACAAAGAACGATTGCCGATTTTTGAAATTTCACCACTGGATACATCATACTATTGAGACAATTGAAGAATATGGAAACTTAAATAGACTAAGTGCTGATACTTACGAAACCCTTCACAAACAATACATCAAATCTCCTTATAGAAAATCTAACAAACGAAATATTGATTCGCAAATTTTGCAAAAAGTATTTTAAATTTGATTTTTTTAATATCGACATTGCAATTTAATTGGTGCTAACTTGATGCTTATTAGGTAACACGATCGCTTACGCTTAAAGAAATTTATGAGCATATTGTATTACAAGGTGACCAACCTAAAATTAATGCAGGAAAATTTGGTAAACAATACTGCACTATACCGTTGCATCTTCTGAAGTCAATCATTGAATTATATAAACATGAAGAATATTGTTCTGAAATACTTGAAGGGTTGCAACATTTCGGTCCTGCATTGAATGAATATTTCAATCTTATGTTTACATTAAAAAAAAATATAGAGGAGTCAGAAATAACTTTAATTTTATTTGAGTCTTTTATATTACCTAATAAGGAAAATGTAAGGGCTACGAAAAGTTATTATAATACATCAATGTTCAGTGATATTGCCATTTACATGGACTCTGAACAGGATTTTAACACATTTGGTGGATACTGCTTCGCGAAAGTATGTAATTATCTAAATAACCTAACTGCTATTTACCTAATTTCAAAACTTTAATAATTTTATAATTTTAGGTTTTACTGTTGGTTCGTGTAGTACTGAAAGCCGCTACTACATTTGATCTCGCACTTATTCGGTGGTACGATTTTAAATTTCCAAATGCCCTTTCAAAGTTTTATAAATTTGAGTACCCTCATTTGCAACTCACAAAAATTTATAATATAATTCCGGTAGAATCGATTAATCATATTGTTCATATTGTACCGCAGTTTGACACAATTAATTCTTATTATGTTAATGTTTTTATTTCTAATTAAATCAATATTCATGTAATGTAAAATTGATATAGTTCATATATTTGTAAATTCATATGCTTTAAGTAGATTTTATACAAAAAATTGCAGAGTAAAGCTTATAAATAAAAATTTAAAATTTTATTGTAGCGAATTTAGCCCCCGAAGAAATGTATTTCATCGTGTATAATCATATTGATTCAAGTTAAAATATTTAGCATATTGAATGGCATTTGAATTATGCCATTCAACATGCTGAATTTTTAATTTCGACCGATGTTAGTGTTCTGCTTGTTCGATTGTGTGCATTACATTGTATTGTATATATGTGTTACTTTTCTATTAACTTGATTGCGTCTACAGATACGTTGTACTATCTATCTACATACATGCTATTGTATTATTAAAACCGCAAGAACATCGAATACAATAACAATTCTTCAGAGCAGTTAGACGATAACACAAGATAACATTATATTGCATCTTAAATAATGATCATTAACTCTTAATAATACACCTAAATTATACTGT